AGGAAGTCGGATAAGTCTAAAAAGGAGGTTAGTATGGGGTCGAGAAATTTACATTCTTTTCCGTGTATTTGTTACATTTTATAGGCATTGGTGTTCGCAAGGAAGTTTTAGTTTTAGATTTAGCTATTTGTTACGTTTTATAGGCTTTGGTGTTCACAATGAAAGTTTAGTTTTAGTTTTGTTTAGTTTTTTTTTTGTGTGTGTTTTTTGTTTTTTGTTTCATGTAGTTGACTGTGTGTAAAACCCTCAGGGAAACTGGATCACTAAGAGTAAGTAGAGTAAACGCACAGGAATGGTATCAGTATTAGTATTAACTTTATTTTATTTTTATTGTTGCTCTAGGCATTGATATTATTACTGGTATTATCGCTATTAGTATTAGTATTAATGTCATTATTGTTGCTATTCTTCTTCTTCTTATTATTATTATTATTATTATTGTTGTTATTATTAGTATTATTATTATTATCATCATCATCAGCATCATTATCAATATAACTATTTATTGTTATTATTATTGTTATTATTATTATTATTATTATTATTATTATTATTATTATTATAACCAATATTATAATTATTTTTATTTTGATGTTGATTTTGTTGTTATAGTAGTAGTTCTGATTATTGTCATTATCATCATCATCAATATTATCATTATTATTTTTGTTGTTTTTATTATTGTTACTATTATTGTTGTTATTATTATTATTATCATTATTATCATTATTATTATCATTAATATTATTATTATTGTTTTTATTATTATTATTATTATTATTATTATTATTATTATTGTTATTGTTATTATTATCATCATCATCATTATCATCATTAGTGTTATATTATTATTATTATTATTATCCTTATTATTATTATTATTATTATAATTATTATTAATTATTACTTATATTTTTATTATGATGATTATTATTATAATTGTTTTTATTATTATTATCATTGTTAGTGTTAGGTCTTGATGCTATTATTGCTATTGTTAATGTTATCAATGAATATTGTTATTATTATTATTATTATTATTATTATTATAATTATTATTATTTGTTTTAGTGTCTTACCAACAAAATGGGAAAATTTCTTCCCTTCTAATAGAAGTGGAAAATATATTTTTTTAATCTTTCCACATAGCAAAGATTAAACAGTAGAAAGATAGGATAAATTGTTTTCAGTTGTGATAAGATTTATATTCGCCTAATTTTTTTTTCAACTTGATCTCTGTTTTTTGCCTCTCTGTGATGTGATGTATCAATTTATTTTATTTGTTTTTTTTATTAATTCAGAAGAGGGTGAGTATTGGGCCACCAGTGAGTTATTCCTTATTGATCGCTGTTGCAATGTCAGAGGATTGCAGAATGGCCAGTAATCCAGTCATCAGTGGCATGTGATTGCAGAAGAGCATTTGTTGATTAACCGTTATCTTGTTGTTAAGTTTTGACTTGTTTTATTGAATGTGCAAATGTATATTATTTCTTTTTCTAATGAGGATATTATTATTAATTTTTTTTTTTTATTCTCCTTTCCTAATATCTGATTGTTCACAAAGCTAAAGGTTTTGCTGTACGTTATTCGTTTATATTTTTTCCCCTCGAAAGAAGGACATACTTTTTCTTTCTTTCTTGTTTTCATTTTCTTTTTTCTTTAAGAGTACTTGCATGAAAAAGGCTTATCCACTACAGCCACTGCTCGCTGCGGATATCTTTATAATACTCTATTATCTATATAAGGAATCAAAGTTTAACCGGTTATTTACTTGATCTAAATCACTCAACCAAATTTAGCCTACTAACCTGATACATGAAAATGTATTCCAATCTGATCAAAAAATGGTATACCTCTTAGGAGATCATCTTTGTCCTGCAATGGTTTGCATGCATTGATAGATGTATGGTTAGTCAGAGATGTGTTGAATGAATGCTATTTAATGGCATTTAATACACCTAGTTGCTTTGACTTTTATGGGTTTGTGAACTTTTGGACTGTGGGAACATCTGCTCACGTCATGCTTTGAAATTGGAACGTGCTGAAGGCTGGTAATCGTGTTTTTATGTAGACGTGTGTGATTATGTAAAAGGTGGACTTAAAGTTTAAGGAAAATTAATTGGTATTAAGATAAATCCTATTTTAAACTCATTATATATATTTTTTTTTTCCCCAAGGAGAATTAATATTTCCAAAAAGGGTGATCTCGTTTGAATTAAGTGTCCATTTTCTTTACATATAGATGGCTTCACAAGTGTTTATTCACCAAGGAGTCATGTGATAGGCCTAACTGACCTGTTTACCCCATTCTTTTATTTGGGAAAAAAATCTGATACTCTTATTCCCGTTGTTGATTTATAATTCATATTAACCTTATCATTATTATCTCACAAAAGTCATAAAAGTAATAGATATTAAACTTTTCTCTCTGTCAAAGTCAAAGAATGTAATAAACAAGAGGGATAAGGGAGTCTAGTAACTGACTCCTTAGTGACTAAGCACCTTGGGAGCCTCTTATATTATGTGTATGGTGGATGCCTAAATGCACTCCAGCATCAACTAGTTAATGTGGATAGAGAGTGTGACTGCCTCTCAATTCAGTTCCAACAGCACATAATACAGTCCTACATTGCACACCCATGTATTTGAACCAAGCTTTGTGTATGTGCCATGTGAATTGAGCAATTATATGTGCACTTGCAGGAGAACATGATTGTAAGTGGTTTAGTTTTATAGATTTATTTAGAATAGAATATTAGTCTCTCAATCTCATTCTTCTACTTGTTCTTTCTTTTCACCATTTCTTTGATGCTCTTACATTCTCTTATTCTTGAATTTCTCTGCTGTATGATATTTTATTTCCCCCCTTTTTACTGAACATTACTCTCTAAATGTTAGAGTGCCAGATATGTAAGGTACTTTTTTTCATCCTGATCTCCACAGAAATTTTGAAGACTTATAAAATGCTTCTGTTATATATGTTCTAATGTAGAAGATAGACTGCTGTATGTATAGGCATTGTTGCTTAGTATTAATTAGTGCTTAGGTTTTTAATATTTCTTTTTCAGTTTCCAGCAAGCAAAATAATTAGTTAGATCATTGCTTTTGAAAAGTTAAAGCTTCAGTAGTTATTATCTCTGAAGGCTTCAGTAAGTCTTGTGTCCAAAGGTACACTGCTTTAATATTGAATTCATGAATGCTGATGGCAACTCATGTCCAGGCACTAGTCCCTTGGTGCATTTTGCTGCTGCATAAAATCATGCCTTGTCTTTTTTTTTCTATCAGTGTATGTTCGGAACTTATTGGAGAACCATCTGCTCAGGTTCTGAGAGCCTCAATCAGATCTTTCACTTCCCAGACCTAAGATTTTGTTAGTTGAAAATTGTTTTGTTAAATTACTTATGTAAGAGTACATGTTCGTTTATGTACGCCATCTAACGCCAGATTTTTATATCTGTAAAGTAAATAACCCTCACTTGTGCCACATAGATCCTCCTCAATACATAGAGTTAAGTGCATTAACTCTGTGTTTTACTGATCCCCACAATGAGTCATATATGCAATGACCAGTCAGACTTGCTTAATACACGCAGGGAAGATGAGTTCCTCTTCCATATCAACAGTATGTCCATATTTCCTGTTGGCATGAAGAAGCCAGAAGCACATTGAAGGTGAATGTAGTGCAGTATTACCTGTGGTAATAAATGTATGTAATAGATGTAGTTAATAATACATTTCTTTATTTTTAAGAATTTTATGCATTTTATATATTTCCCTTTCTTCTTTCATCAGACTTATTTAGCATGTGTAGATTTATATATTCTTCTCTTTTTGATACAGTGAATTTATTCTGATATAAACAAAAGCTAGTTATGGTATTTTTTATTTCTTATTCCATAGTGTAGTTAATAGATTATTAAGCACTTTGAATACTTCATAGTAACTCTTGTTGGTTGAGATATTAGCTCTCTTAGTTCCATAAAGTTGTAGAATAGTCTTCTTAAAACTACAGATAAGCATGTGGTTGCAGCATAAGAGTATCTTTTCATAGGCCAGATCATCCAGTTCATTTACCCACTAAGTATGGTACCAGACTCTTGCTCAAATTCTAGTATGGCTTATGCTCTTTCTCCTTTCTAGGTAGCGCCAAACAATCGCAGTCTCAAAGACAAAGACCCTAAACCAACCAGAAATCCCAAACCAACCACCAAAGACCCCAAAAGCACCAAAGACCCCAAAACTCCCGCTGCTCGGGCCCCCAAAGCAAGCAAAGCCCCCGTGCCTAGCAAAGGCCAAAGAAATGCCCCCAATGGCCAGGCAGCAAAGCCCTCTCAAGACAGTGGCTCTCCGTCTAAGGTACACTTGGGCTCTGTAGGTTGGGGCAGGAAGGCTGCGGCAGGCGATGGCAGGGGTGTTGGATGAAGAGATGGAGGCGTGGGAAGAGGTGGTGGTGGTGATGGGGGCCATAATTGCGGCGAAGGAGGATGCTGGTGGTGGCAGCTGTGGGGAGGGGGCTGGTCTTCTGTCTGTCCTGTCTTTGCTTTCAAAATCTGTGTCAAAGCAATGTTCAGAGAGTGAGCGAGGGGGGGAGAGAAAGGGAGTAAGAGTGAGGGAATGAGGGAATGAGAGAATGAGTGAGTGAGTGAGTTAGTGAGAATGAGTGAGTGAGTTAATGAGAGTGAATGAGTGAGTTAGTGAGAGTGAGTGAGTGAGTTAGTGAGAGTGAGTGAGTGAGTTAGTGAGAGTGAGTGAGTGAGTTAGTGAGAGTGAGTGAGTGAGTTAGTGAGGGAGTGGGTGAGTTAGTGAGAGTGAGTGAGTGAGTTAGTGAGAGAGAGTGAGTGAGTTAGTGAGAGTGAGAGTGAGTGCGTGAGTTAGTGAGAGTGAGTGAGTGAGTTAGTGAGAGTGAGTGAGTGAGTTAGTGAGAGTGAGTGAGTGAGTTAGTGAGAGTGAGTGAGTGAGTTAGTGAGAGTGAGTGAGTGAGTTAGTGAGAGTGAGTGAGT